CGAAGTAGCAGCAGCAACCGCGGGCTCAGGGGCCGGAGCCGGGGTGGCAGGGGTCACGGCCGGAGCTGGAGTTGAAGCTGGAGCAGGAGCGGGAGTGGGCTCAGCAGCAACAGCCGGGGCCGGAGTAGCAGCTGGGGCGGGGTTCTCGACAGCCGGAGCAGGGGCAGCCGGGGCAGGAGCTGCAACGGCGGCTTCGGTGGTCGTAGGGGCGGGAGTCGGTTCAGGAGCAGCAGCCGGGACTGCTGGAGCTGGCGTCGGGGCTGCAACAGGCTCTGGAGCGGCGACGGCGGGGGCGGGGGCAGCTTCAGGAGCCGGGGCCGCTGGGATAGTCAGTTATCATACATAATAGGCCAAAATAAGGACGAAGAAAACGTACCAGGAGCAGGGGCAGCCGCAGTGGCGGGGGCAGCAGCCTCAACTGTCTCGTCGTCAGCCATACTACCACTACTCTAGCTTTATCAACATGCTTATCGACGACTTACCAGACTGGACCGGCGCAGGCGCAGGCGCAGGCGCAGGAGCAGGAGCAGGAGCGGGAGCGGGAGCGGGAGCGGGAGCGGCGACGGGAGCCGGGGCAGCCGCCGTCTCAGTCGTGGTCGGGGCCGGAGCAGGAGTAGCGCTGGTGGCGGGCTGCTCCTCGGCGGGCTTCTGGGCGGCAACGCCCTTCTTCTCGTGGCGCTTCTTGAAAGCGAGCTTGAGCTTGTCGACGAGGTTGTCGAGCGCGCCGAGGGCTGATTGCCGTCAGCTTTTTGCTCATGATCATAACGATGCCTATTTGGCTGACTGCGGGCCGCTATGGTAATTCTTATGCGGGGTCATCGCGATTTCTGGCAGCTCAAACAGATCGGCGCTTGCGAACTGCTTCGCGAGGCTGCCAACAGTCACGTCGTTGGATCGGGGAGGGGAGACTTACGAACGCCGGGCATGGTTGCGGTTTGTTAGGGGTCGAGCTTAAATTCCAAGTCGAAGAAACAATGTCAATTCGGCGTCGTCGCTGGTGGCGATGGAGATGTCGATCGACTTTGCGAGCGGAAAGAAGCAAAAGAAGAGGAAGAAGATGGAAAAGGGAATGGCGGCGGAAACGGCGTAAATAACCAGAACTCAGGTACAAAGCAAGCAAGGCACAACAAGGAACAGGGCAGCTGTGACACTCGACCTGGGCCCCAGGCCAGAACTGGAACTGGAAGTGAGTCGAGGAGGCCTCGAAGCACTGAACCCCAACCCCAACAAGAGGCCAAGGTGCGGCTGCGCCCACCGTGACCCCTGCTTTGTCCCGCAGGCCCCACCAACGCCCCCTCTTGGCACGTGAGGAGGGGCCATGCGCGGGCCAAAGAGCGCTCCAAGCGCCCGGCCCAGACGTCAGTTTCGGAAGCGAGCAAACGCGAGCCGCTGACTACGGAGTCACGGCAGCGGGATGGGGACGGTGATGGATGATGAGACGGGCATTTGGCGCTTGGGAGAGAGATGTCATTTTGGAGTTGGTTTATCGAAAATGAGAAATTGAGGTTCGCGAAGTGCAAATTCAAGAGGCTGTGTTTGGTAGGGTGACATCCGCCATCCTATAAATTGAATCCCTTCATCTCATTTCATCTCAATCCGAGTTCATCCATTGATTTTTACTTGAGATGGAAGCGAAAGCGCTGAGATCTCTCATCTGCAGGATTGCGTGCAGACTGATTTGTGTTGGAGACTACAGTGCTGCGTTTCAGATAAGGGTGAACGGCACTGTACTTGCACTGTATCCATCAGGTTTGGGGTTCATCGACATAGCCACCAACAACATGAATCTCACCTTCTCACTCCCCTCACTAACACCATGGCCTCTCGCAGAAAAAGAACATCCACGTTTACGCCGGATAGCGACATCTCTCGCTTCAGTTGAGGCCGAGGGCGGCTAAATCGACCGCAGCACTAGCCTCAAGTCTCCCCTCCCCCCTCTCTCCCCCCCTTTTTCACCAACTCCATCAGCACGTCCTCCTCAATTCCCAGCTCCTTGTGGGCCAGCCCGCCAGCCTTTACGGCCATCCTCAATTCAGACGACGACAACGTAAAGACCTGCGACAAAATCGTCGCTCCCGCAATCTTCTCCCTCCCCACCGGCGCAACCAGCACCTCCTTCGCCTGCGGCCACCCCAGCTCAGGCAAGACGCACGCATCATTGGTTACAACAACACCTGCCCCCTTCCAAGACCGACCTCTGCCTCTCCGTCGCACAAATACTCTTCTCTTATCTTGAGTTTCTCAACTCCCTCCATCCTAAATGAAAAAGATAAACTCGGCCTGGGCTTAGGCCTCTTCGAGCTCCGCAAGAAATCCGCCTACGACTTGCTCAACGGCCGCACTGAATGCCACATCCGCGAAGGGCCCGACGGACGCACGCACTTCCACGGCGAAAACACAAATCCTGCACCGATGGGCGGATCCGCGTGACGCCGATCGTGCAGCGGGCGTGTTGGGCGTTTGAGGCGCTGTATGAGCGGCAGTCGGAGTTAGTGCCGGTGGGGAAGAGAGGAGCAGATGAAGGCGATTATGAAGGGTCCTGATGGGAAGTGGCATGGCCGCCCTCAAGATGCCGTAACAGGCGCCTCAAGAATGGGCAAGGGCAGCAAGATTAATACGGACCTGCTGGCGCTGAAGGAGGTGATTCGGGCGTGGAACACAAATGCGGCGAGGATCCCGTTTCGTAATTCGGCGCTGAAGATGGTATTGAGGGAGCATTTTGTAGAGGCGGTGTGAGAAGGGCCGGTCGGCCATAGTTGACACGCTGTCGTCGACGAGAGAGCAGTATGCGGCGACGCTGAACTCGTTCAAGTATGCTACTTTGGTGGGGGGGGGGGCGCCGTAGGCTGGCTCAAGGACGTATACAGAGGTAGAACAGGTACTGGTGATGGGAGAGGGTTGGATACCCGTTGAAGAAAGAGGTAAGACCTAGTTGATTGTAGCTCTATGATAAACCGCATCGTAGCTTTAGTAAGCATAAACTCTGGATAATCTTCTCTGTTCTCTTTCTCTCCCTCTTCTTCTTTCTTTCTTTCTCTCTCTGTCTTTTTTTTTTTCAATGCCTACCCTTCCAATGAATAACCCTCAACCTTTTCCGTCCCCATCTCAATTAACCTCTCCCGCATCCCCCTCGGCTCTCCTCCCTCTCAGCCGTCCCCCTCTCCCCCAACACACTCAAATCACACCTCCCCACCCACTCCCCGACCCATGCTGTAGCACATTCCTCGCTCGGTCCCTACTCCCTCTCACATGCCCAACCGACCCATGCAACGTCAGCCTCTCTTTGCCTGAGACATACACCCCCCGATGGAGGATATTACTATCATAGAAGACTGCATCCCCCGCTTTGAGCTTCACGACCTCCATTCCGGGTAGGTTCGGTTCGTACGGATCTGCGTTGCGCTCAACCTCCGTTCGTGAGCGGAGGTGGCTGCCGGGGACGACGACTAAACTCTCGTCGTCATAAAGAGCAATGTTCCACTGTGCATGGTTATACACCGTCCTTTCTTCCCCTCCAATAGAAACAGTAACCCTCTGCCTGTCCAATAACGCCTGTTCTTCTTCCGGTCCAACCGTCCAAGGTATATCGTCCCGATGCCACCGCAATTCGAACCCCTCCCCTCCCCCCTTCAGTGGCCGGATCCCTTCTCCCTCCGGATGAACAAGCATATTCATCAACTCCATCACCAGATCCCCCTCCTGTGCACCCGTCACCTCCTGTACCACCCCCAACACCCTGCTGTCAAAATAAACCCCCACAAACACCCCCCTCTCCTCTTCTTGACTCAGCGGCAGCTCCGGATGCAACAAATGCTGCACTCCCCAAATCCCTCGTTCTCCCCTCGCGACGAGGGCGCTGTCCCACGGCGGGAATTGTTTGCCTAGCGTGCGGACATGGGGCCATTTACCTTGTCGGGCAAGGGTGGTGAGTTTGGAGGCGGCGGCGCGGAGGGCGAGGAGTTGGGATGGGGAGAGGAGGGAAGGGAGGAGGGTGTAGCCTTTGGTTAGGAGGGAGGTTAGATGAGGGTGAGGGTCTGATTGGGCGTCCGACATGATTATTGTGGGAGGCCAAACTGATGTTGATGCGTTTTTCTGGAGGTTGTTAGTTGGGAGGTTGGTTTGAAGTTGGCGAGGCTCAATCAATGCTCTAAGTGGCTTTGTGGAGACGGTGTTGGGTGTAAGTAGTGCTGATTCTTTGCTCGTCCCTTCGGTTGGGAGCTCCTTTTGGGAGCTCTAGTATCACTTCGTTGTTGTTAGCTCATGTTACTTCCACAGAGAATTCAATGAAACTACCTTGAGATCTTGGAGTGTTTCAGTGTTGGTATGTTGTTATGTTTTTTGGAGCTTCTTTGTCGAGATGGGTGTGACTAGGTTGAACCCAAAATGTACTTCCAGAAGGGAACCAAGTGGAGACGCGGGGTAAAGGAGAACCCCACCGTGGGGTTAAATAGAGTACGGAGATGCGCTGCCCATAGTGCGCTAAACTTTGTGCTTATCGAAGCAATGTTGTACAAAGGCTCCAATGTTATGCAAACAATCTCTAAGAAGTGTTTTGGATTTAAAAAAAAATTTCCGCATTCCGTTACATCTTTCATATCAAAACCACCCAGTCCTTAACAAAATCACTTCCGATTCTTCCAGAAGACATTCCCCCCACGCAATTCTGCCCCGCATCGTTATGGCGTACCGTTCTGCTGGCTCTCTTACCCCACACTAATCAGTACGGCGTCTCATTGAGATGAATCTCACATAAGCCAGCGAAAGACAGTGAAAATGACCAAGGTCACTGACATCGAATGTGCTTTTGTGTATTTACTACTGCGATTAACATCTGATCGATTTCCATTAGTGAATACTCGCAAGCCCTGTTCTGATCCAGCACCGTAGACTCCAAACTCCATCTTATCCTGCCCGTTCATCTCTCTCGACACCAAATCGATCCAACCCAACCCAACGCCTTTCTCCTATGAGGACAATAACCTGGCTGATAAAAATGCTCCGATACCTCCATTGCCATTTCCTTCTCTGTATCTCCAAGCCATAATCAAACACACACCCTTCCTTCACCCAAAAAAAAAAAAAAACCTCACGATCTTTACCTCATTTAAGCCCCCCACCTCCCAACTCCCGCCCCTCCCCCCAAAGGCGTCCTCTCCCTAGCTCCCAAACTTGCTCCAGCGCCCCTATGCTGCTGTTGCTGCTGCTGCTCTCTCTCCCTAACCCCTTTCTCCATCAGATCCGCATATCCCTCCAACCCGGCAGCAATAATCCTTATAATCTCAAAGATATGATCTCCCTTGAAAGTCTCTGCCCAGAGGCGAATCACCGCACAGGCTAACTGTCTCAGCTTGATGGGATCGGTCGTAGCATTGACATTCGCAGTTCCAGATGTGGCGGGTGTGTTGGCGGTATTTTTGTTCGTCGAAGACGACGAATTAGATGACCCAGACGACGAAGTCGAGGTCGAGGAGGAAGAGGCCGTCGACTGCTGGTGATGGTGACCCTGGTTCTGCGGGGCATGATTGGCATTGTTGAGCGTAGGATCGATCGGGACGGCGAACTCAGTCTCATCAAGCATGCGGCGGACCATTTCGAGGAGGCTCTTTTCCTCGGCGGTAGGCGGCTGGTCGGCAGGGCCGACGGCCGCGAGGGTGAGCAGCCACTTAGAGAGGAGGACCGCGCATTCAAGGTTGCATACTGCGGTTCTAGTCAGCGTGAATCAGGAGCAAAAAAACAAAAAAAAAGTGACCCAGGACTTACAAGAATGCTGCATGCTCCACTCCAAACTCTTCGTCTTGGCCACATAGTTCACCCCCAACTTAACCAACATCGACAGCGCGTGAATGGCCTGCACAACCGCCCTACACAGCCTACTGCTCCGCACCAACAACGGCGCATCATTAAACGCCTGCGCAATAAGCACATGGTCGCGCGTCTCCAGGCTGCGACTGGTACTCAAATCCGTATGCAGCCTGATATACGCGAGTCGTAACAACGCCGTCGAATTGAATGCCACGGGGCCCTCGGTATACTCTGCTGAGTTATTATCCCCCCGCGAAGAGGCGACCTCATTGGCCCTCGCTTGCCGGTGCTGCTCGAACCCCAGACTCCAGGCGTGAAGCGCCTGGTTAATACTTTCCACATCCTCGACCTTCAGGCCACGGTGGGTTTCAAATGGCGCCAGACTAGTAAGTGACGTCTGCTTGAGCAAAAAGATATGCTGAATCAGCGCGTGGACCAGGACGTAATTCCCAAGACTTGAAGGGGGAGCAGGCGGGCCTTGCGATGGCCGGGTTAACAACCGAGTAAAGGCTTCCTGGAAGGGCACCTCAAGATTATCGGAGCATGACTGGCGCGCTTCCTGCCACTGCCAGGCACTTTCAGCCTTCCAGAGACGAGAGGGGCAGGGGAGGTTGAGATGAATTTCGGAGGTAAGGAGTAAGGGCGGCGTGTTGTAAGCGATGCTACAGAGGTTGAAGAAGCAGTAGGCGACGAGCTTGGTGCGCGTGCCAGACTCAAGACGGACCCATGTCTCCCAGTCGGTGGTTTGGTGATGCTGGTCGGCTGTGAGGCCTTCTTCGCGGACTAAAAGAGCCAACAGGCTTTGGAGAGACAGGGCTTCGTGAAGGATGGCCTTCGCTCCCCACAAACCTATGGCAAAGAGGAGCAGAAGGGCCTGGATGGTTTCAAGCCGGGCTTGCGGTGTATTCGGAGAACTAAATTAAGGTCAGCATAGATCAACAAACCAATGACACTCGGGGAGAGGGGAGGAGGGAGGGGGGGGGGGGCACCTACTAAGGCTCCCGATGATCCTGCGCCATCGACCGATCATGATGCATCGAAGGGAACGAGTGCCTGAACCCAGCACTCGGCGAAGGCCGCGTGGAATATGGGCTGTAAGCAGCCGGCGTCGGGAGGATGGCATGCACCTCATGGCTATTCCTCCGCCTAATCTGCTCGAGCGCCACGGCCTTAGCCGCATACCACAGGGCATGGCTACGGTTCGTCTCAAACCGGTACTGAGCACCGACCGCCAAGATAGCCAGCAATAGCTCAGAGGACAGCTCCGTCGGCACCAACGTCGGTAAGTGCAGGAAGGGCAGATGGTCGTGGAAGCCGCTCACATAGCCCTCCAGGAACCTGCTCAGGGTATGCCGCGAGGGGAAAACAAAGTCGTGCGGCAGCACCGAGGCAAACTCGTCCAGCCGACTCTTGATGACGGCATGGTCCATTGATGATACCCGCCAGATCGGGCCACGCGTTCCGTCTTCGTGCCTAATCCCCGAGTCGTTTGCGTCCTTAGAATCCGGCTGCAGCGAGGGGAAGCGCGAAGGGAACGCCGAGCCTGGTTTGGACAACCCCCTGCCAAGATCCCCGGCTCCAGGCCGAGACCACATGCCGAACCCCTGGTCAGCCTCGAGGGACGGAGGCAAGAAATGCGAGGACGTCGCATAGTCGTCCAAGAACAGGTTATAATCATCCATTGGTGGAGGAGGCGGGTGCTGGGCATAGCTCGGGGCCATGACGCCCGGATCCTGCTCACGCGGCCGCTCACTTCCATAGCCCAGGCTCTCCTGGTGGTAGGCTTTCACGGGAGCGAAGTCAGTGGCCGGCCCAGTCAAGCCTTGCATCATGGTCGACTGCATGTTGTGGAGCTCACCAGCTGACGCGAGATGAGTCGCAGCATCAGAGAGCAAGTCCAAATTACAAGCCGGCTGTCGAGGAGCTGACGGCAGGGGCTGCATGACTTCCGGCCGATACTGCTGGTGATGCATGGGCGGACGTAGCTGGTGCTGAGGGGGCAGCTGGTGATGCTGCGGCTGCGGCTGCGGCTGCGGTTGGGGTTGATGCTGGACGCTCATCATCTCGGTGTCAGGCCTGCTCTCGACCGGGCCCGGCATAAGCCCGGCGGTCGAGGGCTTGCGTTGTTTGGAGCCATCCTTGTTGTTGCCTTCGTTGAGATGGACGAGCTTTTCGTGGCGGACGAGGAGGTCCCTAATATCCATAAGCTTATATTCATACAAGACATACAAGACTTGTGTTCAAGCTAGTTACGAAACGATAGGAGACACAAGTAAAAGCTATAAGTGGGAAGATGAAGCGCAAGCGGGAGCCCGAAGTTAGATCGTTGGGGGTCACGAGGGGCAGGGTAGTAGAGCAACGGGGATGGAGTACAAGGTCGCAGGCACAGACAGGCACAGGCAGGTCTTAGAAACACGCGGAGCTGAGGCGCTGATGCCCCAACAAACACGAGAGAGAGAGGGAGGGGGGGGGTGGGGAGGGAGGGAGGGAGGGAGGGAGGAAGGGACCGGAGGGACAAGGCAAACAACGTACCGTCTTCCGAACGTCTTCCCACAGCGTGGCCATTGACAGGCAAAGGGCTTCTCCTTGGTATGAGTCCGCTCATGACGCTGGACGTGCTCCACACGCCTAATATCAGAGGGCAATGTAAGTCAATATCATATGCGATGTTTAATAGGACCAGCGGAGGCTTGCGACCGAGAGACTCACCTGAATTTCTTGCTGCAGTACTTGCATGGCAGCGCCTTGGGTTTCTGCTGCCGTGCCTCCCCCCCATTCGTGCTCACACTCACAGGATTGGGATTCTCTTCGGCAGTCGTGTTGCCCGGAGGCGGCGGCGCCTCGATCGACTGGATGGGCAGCATGGCGAACTGTGAGTGCGAGAGGAGAGGACAGCTTCCTGATTCCCCGGAGGGGGTACAAGCTGCTTGCGACGGGGACTGGATTGGGACTGGGAGTTGGGGTATCGGTATCGGAACGGAGATCGCGCAATGGAGGGAAAAAAAAAAAGCCACCGCGTTGGAGTGGGGGAAAGGGGGAAGGGGAAGGGGGGAATAGGGGAAGGGGAACACAAGAGAGGGGGAGAGCAGCGAAATACTCTTAAGACCCTCTCTCACTTCTCTGCTTCTCCGCGCCGCCTGCAAGTCCTAGGTCTGCGCCCTGGATGCAGCCAGTGCCCGGGCCCGATGTGGAGTGTCTGAACTCTTTTGGAGTATCACCGGCGACAGATTGGTGGCCGATGAAAGTGCAAAAAGCCAAACCAGTCTCGCTAACTTTTAGTGCAGTGTAATGCGTTGCTTTTCAGCCCGGCTGGACTAGCCCTGGAGCCGCCGCTGAGCTGGATCTTCCCCGCGTCGGCTGCGGTATGGTTGTGGGCAACACAAGACAGGAAGCCGTCTACAACTTCTGCCCTCTCTTTCAAGTTTTCTTTTCTTTTTTTTTCCCCTTCCAAGTCCTGATTTGTTCAACTACCGCCCATAACACACCTCACTGAACACAACAATGCATATATATATGGCTTCACCCCCGCAGTCACCTTAAGGTAAGGGAGAGAGGGGGCCAAGCGAGAGCGTTAAGTGGCAGTGCGGAGTGTTGTCCTGTGCAGTCGCAAACCCAGTGCTGTGGCAGTTCTGGATAAATTCGGAAATTATTTTGAGAGGATGATGTTGAGCTAGGTAGACTGCGGAGAGACGACGAGAAAAGTCAAGCCTAAACGGCTGAGGAGAAAGGTCGCAAGTCGCAAGGGCAAGGGCCATCAGCGACACCAGCATTTGTTCCGGGTTCCGCAAGCACATGCGAGACACAGCTGCGGGGAAACGAACCCCGAGGTGCGGGCAGCGGGCAGCGGGTGTGGGCTGTAGAGTGGGTCGCGAGCAGGCACAGGGCCACACAGGCAGCGCAGCCCGTGGATTTTTGCTTGTGGGAAAGGCAGCGGTTGGGCTGGCTGGGTTTGGGCAACGGGCAGAAACAGAACATGGATACGGTCACTACTAAAGTCTGTAGGGGACCGCTTGGCCTGCAATCTTCATAATGAATGACCGTCGGTCAAGTAGACTTGCTGTCTGTGCCAGGGAAGATGCGGACAGGAGAACATTAGGTCGGAGCAGAACCTTGGATATTGGAAACAGTATGAGTGGGTGTGCCCTATTATTGCACAAAACGCGGAGACTGGACGTGGAGAAGCGAGCCAGAGTTGGGACTCTAGAACTCTGCGCGGGAGAAGCTCTTTGCGCTAGAGCTTGTGCTGCAGGACGCCCAGGCGGGGATGCAGCAAGCTGGCCTACGGGCGAACCATAGTCGCTCGGGGTCGGAAGAACGGGACGATGGATTGTTGGACTTGTTGAGAAGACTTGAGGGGCTACTTTCCTAGATGATAGCCCGCTTAGGCGTCGCTGATCAATTCTTGTTCCTAAGTTATCTCATCTTTTTCATCGCTCTATCACACAAACCTACCCAGGTGGAAAGCAGCGAATCTGACGGACCAGATGCCCACACTCATCATTCGTCCATAGATGGAACCCTCATCCCACACAAAATTCCCATCCCTAGACTGTTTGCCAGTCTCTGAGGTGGGACAAGCCCCAGAATGACGGCACCGCGCTGCTGGGGAGCGTGCGCTTCGGTGGGCACCCTGCCGTCGTCGTTGTTCCCCATTGGTAGATCCACATCAGCTCATTCTTCTCCTCCGCATTGGAGGAGCATTTGGGAATGTGGGGGCGGGGTGCTCCCATTTGTCAGGGCTTGGCAGGCTGGCTGCAGCTTGGAAAAAAAAAGGGTAAGAGCCAGGAAAGACGCCTGCCGTTTTGGTTGGAGTCGACCTCGGAGTTGGGAGAAAAGGACGAGATGTGAGAAGATCGTGGAAATTTTTTCGATCTTTGGGGGGTCTGCCTGTCTGCGAGCATTTCTAACTGCTAAGAGGCGTCCGTCGTGTTCGCGGCTTTGCATGATAGCATCATTCTTCCAGAGCCCTGTTGGACAGTCAACCTGCCAACGAACGCTCACCGCATCTGATCACGACAGCATCCCGCTTTTAGTGCACCTTACTATGTACTCCCGTACCGGGTTCACCTCCTTGTCGCAGCATCAGAACTAGCATATCAGTTACGTCGAAACACTGCTGCCGTTGCCAACGAACCGCGTCTCCCCGCCCAACATGCGTGCTCCCCAGCCTTTGTTGACCAGTAATAAGAGCAAAATATCGAAAAGCTTGCCGCACTACGGACTACGGAGCCCTGTAGACGCCGACACTCCGGACACCAGGGACGACGGCGACGGGGAAACGGGAGTTTGTTGAGTACCTCTGAGTTGCCTGTCTGCCTTTTGACTTTTTTTTTTTTTCTCTCTGAAAGCGGGGCCCTCGATCCACGATGCACGACACGACGCTGACTACATGCCACGGAACCGAGGGACCTGCAGCCAGCCCAGCCAGCCTGGATCCCTGACTGCCGGAAGCATGCGAGCTTTGAGGAAGAAAAAAAAAAGTTTGCACATGTCAGCCCTCACAGGCTCGCCTGTTACCGAGCACTTTCGGTCGGGTCTCACCGCACGCACAAGAGAGAGTGAGATGGGCTCATCATGACTGGGCAACGCTGCTTGACTGCCACCATGAACTGTGTGACTGGATCACCATACCTAGTCTTCACTGAACTCGGGACATGCTCACGCGGCCTGGCCGAAACCACTCACACAGTTGATAGGGACAGGGCAACTGACCAAAACAAGACACCACCGGAAAACATGGACTGTGGGGTGTGGAGTTCTTCCTTGCTGCTCGTTGGAGAAGCGAAATCTGGGGAACCACACATCCCGACCCCCGAGCCTGCCCCGCAAGACGTCGTCGTCGAATGCGGAGAAAGGACGCCGACCACGCTCCACAGCCAAGACTGTCTATCGACTCTATCGACGCACCAGCTTTTTGGTTGCGTGAGCGAAATCATGCTCACTGCCGGCCCTGCTTGGCTCTGTCCAGTCGTGGCGAAGGATGTGATGCGCAGGTCATGTTCCGCAGGCCCTGTGTCTTAGGTGTCTTGAGTTGCGCGGAGCCTTCCCCCGGCGACGGTGCTGCCAGCCATCCACCCCGGGCCCCGTCTCCGGCCTCGGCAACGGTTGACGACCCCCGGAACCGTGATCACTAATCGGTGACAAGGTTGACCGCCATGCCGGGCTTGCGGCTTCCGGCCGTCACGCGACATGGTGAGAAGCTGGAATTTGACACCCCACAGCCGATTGTGAAGCATTCTTCCCTATGACCTATCCTTGACCTCGACTCCGAAAAAGCCACTCACTACTATCATATGTTTTTCCTGCCTGGAATCGATCTACGAATTTGAATATCCGATCAGAAAGAGCGTTTGGTATGTCTTCTGATCCTCAAACATCTCAATCATGACGCTGCCAGCGCTGCAAACGCTCACCTGTCCGAATCACGGCGGCTAAGCAAGACCGCAGCTGAACGTCATTCTCTCATTAACCTCCGAAGCCCTGCTGGACTCGTGGAACTTTTGTCCCACGACCTGCTATTGATCAAGAAACTTTTTTGTGTGATTTGTCTCCTCTGGGAGGATCACTGGCTACACTGGGGCTCCAATGGGTGGATACGCACAGTAACATCCGGCCTTATTTCTCCGTTTCACTTTGCGCCGAGCGATTGGGCGAATCAGATGCCATTCCCAATCGCCCGTTTCAGGGGCTCAAGTGACCCTTCATCAACTCGAACCTTCTGATGATGTTCGTTTCGGCTTTCCCAATGGTTCGCTTGCTTCCGCATCACCCTCTACAGTGTCCACTCAAGGCTATATCTGAGACAAGCCTTTTGCCAAGCTTTACCCCCTTCCAAGAGGTCGAAACACGCTCGCATAGGTGTTGATGGCTCGATTTGGTCGGTTTAGCCAAATCCCACGAGGTAACCTATGTTGTGAATTCCCCTTCCCCCCCCCCCCTCCTACCCCCAAGAGTCCTGCAATTTTGTATGCCACGCTTGTTTCGAACTTTGACTCCCTTTATTGTATGGTCGCTGTCGAAGGGAATGCAGAGAGGTGAAACTCTGAGGGGACATCTCCTGGGTGATGGTGTGTTTTGTTTCTTGGTGCCATTCCAAACCTCCCTTTCACGGCCGCCCAAGCAATGCTCCCCTACGGAAGGCAGCAGGCAGCAGCTCCAAACAAGCCAGCTTTGTGGTGGTATCTCAGAGACTAAGTTGGGAAGGTATGTTACTAAGCATGATCCGGAACTCTCTCTGAATGGAGCGAAAAAATGCCGGACGACGTCTTGGCTGGTTCACTTGGAGAGCCGTGATATGACGTCTAACGTTGCATACAATTGTGAATCTGAAATCTTATGGTGGGATTTTTCGGGCCTCCTCAGGCGGACACCGCACGTGTGGGTAAAGTGTGGTGTGTGTGGTATGCATTGTTTTCCCCTCCTGCGCTGCTGTTGTGCCGCCCTCGCAAGCTTATCTCCTCGTATCCTCCGCCGGATACCCACACGTGTTTCTGTTTCACGGGAGGGAACTTTGTGAGTGGTAATAGGCTCGTGTTGGGTAGGGTCGTGAGAGCGTGTTTCTTTGAGTATGGCATTTTGCTTATATTATCCGGTAATCTTGCCCCCTGGGTGTTGAGACGGGAATGGCCCTTTTGCTTCCTCATCCCTTTCCCTCCCTCGCCTTTTGAATACACCGAGACGGTGACTCGGTGCCGCTCGTTTTTTTTTTTTGCTGTCAAGATCTACGCTCGTTTGATTGTTTCCGAGTGGCATAATGCGTTTTGCTTCGGCCTTGCTGGCCATAGCCAGCGTTGTGTCTGTCGTTAAAGGGCACTGGCTAGGGGATATTCCTCGTATGGACCATGTGTGACTTTAAGTGATGTCAAGCGCTAATGTTTTTTTTTTTTTTTATTTAGATCGTGGTTTCGCACCCTTTGCTCCTGGCGGTGCATCCTATCCAGTCTTTCGAAATGTTAAGGACTATGGTGCAAGAGGTAGGTTAGGTGTTTCGTCGACGATCTCAAGGAACAAGTGCTGAAAAGAGTACATAGGTGATGGTGTCACCGACGATACGGATGCCATCAATCGCGCCATTATGGACGGCAACCCTTGCAATAGGGGCTGTGTAAGTTGATATGCCTTGAGCGGGGCGACGAGAGAAGTGCTGACTGTGAAAGGCGTCTACCACAACGACTCCGGCCGTCGTTTACTTCCCGGCCGGCACATATCTCATCTCGAGGTCCATTCTCCCCGCCTACTTCACCCAGCTGATCGGCGATGCCGCGAACCCCCCGACGCTCAAGGCCAGTGCCAACTTCGAGGGCTTCGGCCTCATCGACGGCAACCCGTACTACACCGAGGTTCTTAACTGGAAGTCCGTCAACGTCTTCTTCCGGCAAGTGCGCAACTTTATCATCGATACGACCGCCATTCCTCCAGCCAAGGCCGCGACGGGTATGCACTGGCCGACGTCGCAGGCCACCAGTCTGCAGAATATTGTGTTCAGGATGCCCCAGACTCCGGATGTCGTTCACGTCGGCCTGTTCATCGAGGAAGGTAGCGGCGGTTTCATGACAGATCTCACCTTCATCGGTGGTGATGTCGGTGCGAGCATGGGCAACCAGCAGTACACGATGCGCAACTTTAAATTCGAGGGCTGCAAGACCGCCATCTACCAGATCTGGAACTGGGGCTGGACGTACTCTGGCCTGGAGATCAACAACTGCCAGATTGGTATCGACATGTCGGCCAACGATAACGGCAAGCTCAACGTTGGTTCTGTCACTCTGCTCGATAGCACTTTCAACAATGTCGGTGTGGCCATCAAGACTGCCTGGACTGCTTCATCCACTCCAGCCGCGGCTGGTAGCCTGGTCATGGAAAACATCCAGCTCAACAACGTGCCCGTCGCGGTCCAAGGCTCCAACGGCGCGACCCTTCTCGCCGGCGGCAACACCCTCATCCGAGCCTGGGGCAACGGCCATTCATACACGCCGTCTGGCTTCTCCGACTTCATCGGCGCCATCGCCCCGAACCCCCGCCCGGCTGTCCTGCTGTCTAATGGCCGGTACTACACCCGCTCGAAGCCGCAATACGAAAACCTGCCTGCCTCCTCCTTCCTCTTCCTCCGCGACTTCGGTGCCCGCGGCGACGCCGCCGCCGATGATACCGCTGCGCTGCAGAATGCGATCAACGCTGCTGTTTCCCAGGGCAAGATCCTCTTCCTCGACTACGGTCTATACCGGGTGACGGATACCATCCGGATTCCTCCCAGCGCCAAGATCGTCGGCGAGTCCTTCCCCGTCATCCTCTCTGCCGGTCCTAATTTCAACGACATCAATAACCCGCGGCCTGTCGTGCAGGTCGGGGCTTTCTCGGGACAGCAGGGACAGGTTGAGCTGAGTGATTTCATTGTGTCTACGCAGAACCGGCAGGCGGGTGCGGTATGTATTGAGTGGAATTTGGCGAGCCCGGCGGGCGCACCGAGTGGTATGTGGGATGTGCATGTTAGGATTGGAGGGTTTACGGGCACGCAGCAGCAGATTGGGGAGTGCCTCAAGACGCCGGGGAATCCCACTGTTAGGGAGGGGTGTGTGGTCGCGTACATGGCGATGCATGTTACGAAGAAGGCGAAGGGGTTGTATATGGAGAATTGTTGGCTTTGGTGAGTGCTCCGGATCATCCCAGAGGTAATATGGATGGGAGAAGGCTAACCAAAAGCAGGACGGCCGACCATGACATCGATGAGGCGGCCAACACCCAAATTACTATCTATACCGGTCGCGGTCTCTGTAAGTTCCCTCTTTTTTAAAACTTCCATTGAGTTTCTTGTCGAGCACTAACGCCTCCCAGACATCGAATCCGAAGAAGGCCCCCTCTGGCTCTGGGGCACCGGCTCGGAGCATCACGTCCTCTACCAATACCAGCTACACAACACACGCAACATCTTCATGGGCCAGATCCAGACCGAAACGCCCTACTTCATGCCCACGCCCAACGCGCTCGTCCCCTTCCCTCCGGTCGCGTCCCTTCACGACCCCGATTTCTCCGCCTCCTGCCAGGGCGTCGAAGGCAACTGCGCGGCGTCCTGGGGCCTGCGAGTCATCGACTCGCAGGATGTGTTTGTCTACGGGGCGGGGTTATATTCTTTCTTTAGTGACTACAGCACGAGCTGCTCGACGTTTGCGGCCGGGCAGACGTGCCAGCAGAGGATTACGAGTTTGGAGGGGAATGTGAAGAACGTGAATATCTATAACTTGAATACGATCGGGACGAGGGAGATGTTGAATCGGGATGGGAAGAGGGTCGCGTGGTATGCGGAGAATGAGAGTGTTTTCCCGTCGAATGTAGCAGTTTATAAGAGCAATTAAGGGCCCCGGGGGGTGTTGTGGGGGGGGGGGGGAAAACGGGGAGGGGGATTGGGTATCATGATGGATCTTATGGCTTCATGACTGTTTTTGCTTCTTTATTCATGATGTTTACGTCTGGGGAATATGAATGATCTTAGCTTTATGGCCTGGGCATGGTATCATACTTCTTCCTGTAAAATACCCTTGATTTTTTAAGTATAGCACGTAAGTATACTACTGACAAGCGGCAAGCGGCAAGCGTTGCGGTATAAGCGATTATTCGTTTCAGAAGCGACCCGTCTCTCCATGAACGGTGACTGACATTGCGAAAAGCAGTTGTTGCTTCGGTTGCGAGCCAAAGCACCTAACCTGGAAGATCCGTTACGCTTGGTTACCTCGGTATCTATATACTTAGGCATTGTTTGATGACAGCAACCCCAACAGCAGCCGGATCCGACTTGTCAACTGGGAAGCGGGGGAAGAGGAGCCCCGTTCAATGCCGCGTCTTGCATAAAACAGTCCCTCAAGCCCGACTGGCATTTTCAGTGGACAGGCAAAATTCCCATCTGACACTGGATGGGGTTTTAGGAGGGTTGAAGGGAGGGGTATGCTGCTTGAGACTTTTGGAGGTGGGATTGGGCATCATGACGTTTCCATGGCCATGTGAACTTCTTACCCCTGAACTGGCGCCGAGCGTTGAACAGACCGCGATCATGAATGGACAAATGGATGAGCGATGACTTGTCTGTTGTGTGCTGCACAACCGTTGGCTTGTGCTCCCCATTAAAAACTGGATTGGGCCACTGATGATGCCATGGCTGATTGGATGAATGGCTGCTCTCCCTATCAAAAAACAGAGGCACATACATTGGGCCACTCACCCCGCGTGCTGTCCTCGGATACTACTCTACAATAAACTCACTGCATGTCACATTGGCTCTATTCATCCCACTTGCAACTGTTGAGAGGTGAAATCACTCGCAGTGTTGTCTGCAACCGATGACTGGTGAATGGATGCCCCAATGCCCAACGGCTGTGCATCGCATTCACAACAACGGATTCCTGTCAGATATTTTATTTTATTTTTTTTGTTTTTCAGACAAAGCCGAGGGCTCTCGGGACCTTCGATTCGTGGCTTGAAAGGCGGGAACAAAAAGGGGACGGGACATGGTCAGGGTCTTGGCGCCACTGCCCCACTTCCCACTTCCATCTATTCGATCCCAAGCATTTGGGTTGTTGGTCCAATCCAATGATGGCGACCGCGGCGGCAGGGTTCCACACACCCACAAGCCAACCCTGAACCCTCAACGCGTGAACCCTGGTCTGCCACCCGCCGCCCGCCGCCCGCCGCCCGCCAGACCCTTGGTGGGGAGTGGGCTAAACTTTTTTCGGAGGCCCATTGGCAGCACCAGGGAGGGCGTCGGGTCGATGATCGATCGACCGACCTCGTCACCGCTGCTGTTGTCTGGCAGTCTTTTTTTTTTTGTTGCCCGCAACTCCAAAATATTTTTTCTCCTGTTTTCCTCCTTTTTCTCTGAAGTTGTCAAACGCTGGCGACTGTTAGTTGCTGTCAATTAGAGCCCCCAAGTTGAGCGTTAAGCGTTCAGTGGCAGTTGCGGTTTAGTGGCCTGTTGCTGCTGGAGCCGCGGGCCACACGATTTGCACGACTTGGGCTTGGATAGCCAATCCCATGCCCTCTGGCATCTCTGGCATCCCATCTTTCTCCATTTTCCACCCGAGCATCTACCATCTGAGCATTTAAGAGCGGAGAGGGGAGAAGGTAAATCTGGCAAATCTGGCTTTGGCTGGCTGCAGGATTTGCAGGGTAGCAGGTGAGTTGCTGCAGCTTTTCTCGCGCGACCCCCAAGTGCATACAATATCATGCAAGTCATAAAGTCATCTGCTCTTGCGGCCGCATTCCCACCAAACAGACCCTATATCTTACTTACGCTACACCACTGAGAGCTATCATCACCATTGTCAACAGCCGACAGCCCCCCTGGAACACGGCCTTCTCGAAGCTGTCAGCCCCGTGTTTTCTCGTGTCTTCCAAAGTATCCATACATTCCATACGTTCCATAGTCCCCCGGGCGCCATGCCCAAAAAGCCAGGAAGCCTGTCGCGTTGCTTTTTTTATTGCGAATAATTTCCTAGTTCCTTGTACCTAGCTCCACCGCCATCTGGGGCAAGTAACCGCTAATCGCTAACCGCCTCTCTCTTACATAAACACAGCCCACAACAACAGCTTTGAACACCTGTCGAGTCTCCTGACACCATCCACTACGTCTACCATCCCGAACCATCCACTATAATAATGTCATCATCGGAACCCGAAAAGCTCGACGCCGCCCAGGCCCCTGCTGCCGAGGCCACTTCCCCCGCGCCAGCTCCCACCGAGCCCGGCACTGAGCCCGGCACTGAGCCCGGCACTGAGCCCGGCACTGAGCCCTCTGATGAGCCGGCCGAGTCGGTCGCCGAGACCAGCTCCGTGGCCGCTACCGACGACCACGAGCACGAACACGACACGGAGCACGCCCCTGAGACGGCGTCCGAGGCGGCGTCCGAGCACACCGCCGACGCGACTGCGGCGTCAGTAGCCTCCCACGAGGCCGCTTCCGAGGACGTTGCTTCCGAGGGCGCCGCGTCCGTCACTCCCGTTCAGTCCCCCGCTTCGGAGAAGCCCCCTGCGTCAGTGTCCTCACCGGGGAAGTCCGAGAAGAGCTCGCCTGGGAAGAGCGAAACGACAGCAGCAGCGGCAACGGCGAAGAAGACGACCGGGACCCCTGCGAAGCCCGGATCGACCGTGGGTACTACTCGCAAAGTGAGTGGTGCTCTCGCGAGCAAGACCGCTGCAACAAGGACGCCGTCTACGGCCAGCAAGACGACGGCTGCTACTACCCGCCCTGGCACGGCCACCTCGACCACGGCTGCTGCCAAGCGCCCCGGCACTGCCGCGTCATCGACTACACACCGCTCGCAGCCGTCTGTGTCCGAGGATGAGAAGGCCAAGCGGCAGTCCATGTCGCTCTCCAGCGCCTCGCGCCGGACCTCGACCATCCTCAGCAGCACCAAGGCTGCTGCCTCCCCCAGCAGCAAGGCCCAAACTAGTCCAACAACCCCGACTGCGCGCAAGCCCTCGAGCACGCTGAGCTCCGTCTCCTCCAGAACAGCAGCTACCACCACCACGCGGACAACCTCTTCGGCCGCGTCCTCTCCTGCCACAGCCAGCCGTACTACGGCTTCCTCCAGGCCGTCTACAACCTCCAGCACTACCACCGACGCCAAGACAAAGCGTCTGTCGACTGTCAGCAGCAGCATCAGCAGCGCGGCACGACACGCCGCGCGTCCCTCCCTCTCTGGTACAACCTCCTCTACTGCGGCGGCGGCTGCTGCTGCTGCCGCCGCCGCCGCTGAATCGGCCAAGGAAGTCGAGGAGCTCAAAGCCAAGCTCCTCAGCAGTGAGGCCGAGATTGCAGATCTCAAAGCTCAGATCGCCTCGTCGCAAGAGAAGATTTCCGACCTGACGGAAAAGGCTGCCGCGGCGCATGCTGAATTGCCTGAAGGTGCCATTGATAAGGAGGCGCTGGAGGGACTCAAGAGCGAGCATGCTGCCGAGATTGAGAACCTCAAGGCACAGGTAGCCGCCGTGCAGGAGAAGCTTGCTCAAGCAGAGGCCGAGGTTGAGAAGACCAGGGCTCAGTTGGCGGAGGTGACGAAGGTGAAGGAGGATGCGGAGGGGAGGTTGGCTGAGGTCAAGGCGCAGTTGGAGGCAGTGCAGGCCGAGAGGGAAGCTCAGATTGAGGAGCTGAAGAAGGGGTATGAGAAGGAGGTTGAGGAGCTGAAGGCCAAGCATGCTGAGGAACTGCAGGGCGGTAGCAGTGATAAGGAGAGGGAAATGAAGGAGTTGAAGGAAGGGTTTGCGAGCGAGGTGGCGGAATTGCAGAAGAAGATGGAGGAGTTAAAGATCGAGAAGGAGAAGGAGCTGGAGGAGAAGCTTGCTGCCGAGGACGCGGCGGCTAAGGAAAAGGTTTCTGGCCTGGAGGCCGAGATTGAGGCACTTAAGGCTAAGCTTGATGAGGCCGAGAAGGCTGCTGAGGTGGCTAAGGCCGAGCTCGAGGCTAAGAGTGCTACGCTGGCTGATCTAGAATCTAAGGTCTCCGGTCTGGAGGTCGAGCTTGCCGCGGCCAAGGAGGAGGTCGCCAAGGCGACGGCCACGCATGCCGACCTGCAGAAGCTGATTGATAGCTTGACGGAGGAGGGCAAGGCTAAGGATGCCGCGATCGCCAAGCTCAAGGAGGAGAACGAGGTCGCCAACGAGCACCATCAGAAGCAGCTGAAGGAGATCAGCCAGGATTACGAGAACGAGATCGAGAGCCTGCGTGGCGATGCCTTCTTTAAGCGCAAGTTTGAGGAGCTCAGCCGTCAGCACGAGGACTTGACTAAGGAGAAGGAGGAGATTGTCAAGGCTCTGGAGGAGGCGAAGGCCCAGCATGAGCAGGCTGTCAAGGCCCTTGAGGCCAAGGAGGCTGAACATCAACAGATCCTGGAGGCTCTTAGGGCTAGCCATGCCTCGGAGCTGGCTGCCGCCAAGGACGCTAGCGCCGATGAGATCAAGGCGCTTAAGGAGAGCCACGCCGGGGAGATCGAGACGCTCAAGTCTGAGAGCGAGAGCAAGCTGGCGAAGGAGCTCGAGGCCCTGAAGGCTAGCCATAATACCGCGCTGGAGGAGATCCTCGCCAAGCATGCCCAGGAACTGGCGGCCGCCAGGACCGAGGGCGATGATACCCGCGAGAAGCTGCTGGAGCAAGTCCGCGCCGAGCTAGAGGCCAAGCGCGCGGAGGAAGTTGGTCGCCTGACGGCCGAGATCGAGACGCTTTCCAAGCTGAATGCTGAGCTTGAGGCAAAGCATGCCCAGGAGCTGGAGCATCTAGAGCAGCTGAAGTCTGATCTGGGCGAGGTTTCGGATATGAAGCAGCAGCTGGAGGTCAAGTACGCGGAGGAAGTCTCCAAGTTGACGACCGAGCTACAAGAGGCTAGTGGCGCCAACAAGACCCTGCAGGATCAGCATGCTGCGGAGGTTGCCGCGCTGAAGGCTGGCTTCGAGGAGAAGCTTGCCGATGCAGAGGCCAAGCATACCCAGGCCCTGGCCGATCTGCGGAAGCAGCTCGAGGACGCCCACAGTTCCGAAGTCGAGAAGCTTGTCTCGGTCCATGCTGAGGCACAGCAGGCCGCGCAAGCAGCGACCGACGCCCTCAAAGCCGAGCACGCGCGCACCCTCGAAGAACTCAGCGCCAAGGTAGCCGCGGCCCAAGACGAGATCTCTCGCCTAGTCGAAGCCAAAGAAGAGGTCGAAAAGGCCAAGGCCGCCGCCGAGGCCGCCCTCGCCGAGCTTAGGGAGAAGTACGCCAAGAGCGAGGAGGAGCTGGACGCTGTCAGCCAGCAGCTGGCGCACGAGAAGATGGAGAAGTTCACTGCACAGGCGGAGCTTGACGCGCTCAAGAATGCCAAGCAGGATACCACGGAACTGGACAGCCTCAGGGAGAGGGTGGCTAAGATTAGTGAGGAGAGGGAGAGAGAGGTGAAGGAGCTGAAGGCGGCTCATGAGAAGGAGATTGCTGCCGTGAAAGAGGAGATTTCCTCCAAGGCGGCCGCTGAGGTTGCGGCTGTTCGGGATGAGCTGATCGTTGTCCGGAAAGAGCTGGAGGCTACGCGTCTCGACGCTGAAGTTCGCCAGAAGACGGCCGAGGCGGACTACAAGGACATGCACGACAGCATGACGCAGTTGGTGGAGGAGGCGCAGCAAAAGGCCGGTGAGATGGAGGCGCGCTGGAAGGATGCCGAGAAGCGGATCGCGGAGTTGACGGCGCAGTTGAAGGTGCGGGAAGCTGAGTTAGCTGAGGCGAGGGTAGGTTGCGAAAAGAAAAACGAGGGGGGCGGTCAATAAGAGTTTGGTTCTTTGGGGATGGCTATGGCTGACGCCGGGCAGGAGCACGTGGATAAGCTTGCCGCTATCAAGGCCAACGCCAACGATGTTGACGCCGAAAAAATCAAGTCCTCGCCGGAAGGTGAGCCCTCAACAACAGCAGCAGACTCAAAGTCCAATGAGCCCGACGGCTCGTCGGCCGCGTTAGCTTCGGTACAGACTCCCCCTCAACACCCACACCCACACCCACACCCTCTCAATCACCCTCTCAATCACCCTCCTCCTCATTTTGGTCCTGGCCTGTCGAAAGCGGTGGAATTTTCCTTCATGGGACGGAGTGGCGGACAGTTTCGCCTGGCAAATTTCGCATTTTCTTCCTTTTGGCAAACATAAAAAAAAATTTTTTTTTTGAGAGTTTTCATTTCTGACGTGTTTTGGATTTTTCAACTCTAGCAGTATCACTTTTCTTCTTCTCCTTTTCTTCTCTTCTTCCAGTAACTTCTTTGTAATTTTTTTTTTCACTCGATCAAGGAAAAACTAACTTGTGCTCTGTGGGAGGATTTAGATGGCTAAGATCCAGCAATCCATTGGTCAGCTCAATGAGCTGTCCGACGAGATGGGCGAGCAGAATCGCAAGATGCTGAAGGAGATTACCGAGTTTAAGGAGGCTGCTACTGCGGGTGCTGCGGGGGAGCAGGGCCAGCAGTAGCCGTGTCGTTTCTTGCTGTCGAGCCGAGGACTACTACCACCAGACAGGTTGTTGAGTGAGGGTATGCTTAACCTGAAGATGTTGTCGGGGTGAGGGGAGTTTTTTTAATTTATTTTTTTGTCTTGGTTTTTTTGCTTTCTGTTTTCTGCCCTGCGCTCTACTTTTTTTTTCGGCAGGTTGTTTCGGTATCTCCTTTATTGTATTGTTTTTTTTTCTTTTTCCCTTCAACTTAACTACTACCCCCCGCTCTGCTCTGCTCTCATCTCTCCACCACCACTTTTATTGTCGTTGTAGTCGTCGGGGAGTTGGTGTCGTGCTTAAGTTGTTTCTAACACTGTAATCGGGGGAGATATCCGTATGCATATCTAATTCATAGTTTTGGAGGCGTGTCATGTGCGGACTCTAATCGTAGTAGTGTGGATGTGTATAGACTGAATGGGATGTGATGTGACGGTTAGAGATTTGTATCAAGGTTGGTTGTTAGGATCCTGGCTCATCAAGTAATAAATAGACTCCAACAGGTGTACTAGCAACCGGTTTCATCTTGCTTCCTGGATTGGCTTTGATGCTCTATCTGTTCACAAAGTTCCTCGTGACCACTTCAACAATACCACTTGTTGTGGCTCTCTCTTTTGAGACATTATCAGGGACAATGGACTTGACAGTTATAATCACATGGACATAAGGTTCGCTGTGTCACACCAATCCACACATGTTACTTCATTATTTCACAGTTCAGCCTTCAACAAGAGTAGTTCCACAAGCACCAGCGCATTCACAGCGCATCAGCCAGCTCCCTCATCTTTACTCAACATTACCAAAACCTACAGCTGCTACCAGCAACAGGCATGCTTCAGAGGTGCAAGAACCAGCCTGGGGCATAGAAAAAAAACTTTAAAATATCTGGAATGAGACAGAGTCGTGCGGTGAAGACCGGATTAGCTTCATCCGAAAGGTTAGTCTTTTGAACTAGCTCCCTGGTGTAAGAATGTTGATTTCTCAATAGCCAAAGGAAACCAGCTTCTTCTTTGCTGGAGAGAGTAAGCAACAACCCTTTAAAGCTACGCCAGCTTCCCCCGTATAAGAACACAGCTCCCATCTGTGTATCGTACTCTCCGGGTGCTCAACTCAGCCAGATCTTCCACACTTAGGTAAGATCCTCGCAATCTAACTCTAGGAATATCAAAATCCACTTATTGACTAAAATTTGGAACCACGGCTTGAACATTCGGCATACCTACTCAACCTTTGTCTCAAAACCTCCTCCTCATGAGCTCCGGTAACCCAATACCTCCCATCTACTACACCCCCAACCCTCAATCCCATCCCGATACCGCCTGCTCCCCCGCCACAGAACCACCCTCAGGCTCAGAACAGACCAGCTCCGCCACCGCCAGCAGGAGCAACCTCTCCCGATCGACCACCATCCTAGGTGGTGAGAATGACTTCAAAACTGCTGCCGCCGCTGTTGCTAAGCAGCCGTCACAGCAGCAGCAGGAAGGGCTGATTCCGTGGCACGAGCAGGAGGTGACGTTGGACTGGGGAGACCCGATGGATGTTGATCCCCCCCGGGGGTGTGCGCGTTGGACGGCTGAGCAATGAGTTGGAGGGCTGGGAGAGGGAGCATGGCAAGGGTTGGGGGGAGGGGCGAGGGGAGCCGATGGATGTTGATGGGCGAAAACCGCCTCAGGGGCAGGCGTGGGTTGCGGGGGACGGGGGAGGAGGGGGCCAGCATTTTCAACAGAGGATGGGCTATGGCGGTTGGCAAGGGCAGCAGCAGCAGCAGCAGCAGCAGCAGCAACCTGTGATGGGGGTTCATCAGGCTTCTTGTAGTACGGGTTGGTATGGACAGGAGCAGCAGCAGATTTGGCCGCAGTGTCATAACTCGGCTTATCAACATCAACAGCCGCATCTACATCCGCAGGTTCTTCGGCAGCAGCGAGCGCAGTTCACTCCGCCACAGCATCCCCAACTTCACCAGCAACCTTTCCAGCAACAACAACCCTTCCACAACGCCCACCGACTTTCCCATTCTCGACAGCCCGCCGCTCCACATTCTCATCACCAACACACTCACGCCCTATACCCTCAGCAGCTTCAGCAATCCTATGCCATCCATCACCCCCAATCTCAACAACCCCTCCCCCTCCTAGCCCTCCTCCAACAACTCGCCGACAATGCCCTCAACATCGTCGACCAAGCCGAGTCGCAAGGGAATGATTCCGACTCTGAGGCCAACAACGGGCCCAGCTCGGGGGTGAGGAAAATACAGGTGAGTAGCAGCACTCAAGCTTAAGCTCAGAACTCCGTTTCAGTTGTGCTTGTGCTTTGAAATGGATGGCACAAGAGGGATCTTATTTTTTTTTCTTTTTCTTTTCTTTTCTCTTCTTTTCTTTTCTTTTTTTTAAGCACAGCCCAACAGAACAATGGTATTGAGGGTTGAGAATGAGAATAGTTATTACGATAGTTGAGCAAAAGAGGTTGCATGTTCCCGGATCCATGGTCATTCTCTTCTTCTATATCACAAAGGAGGGAGACACGTCCGGCGCAGGGCAAGAACGTTAAGAGAAGCATGACTAAACCACCCTTACTTCAAACAAACAGGTCGTCCTTTCGCCCAACAATAGCAACCCCCCTCAAATCGCAACCCGATACCCAGACTCCGATACAGAAGATAACTTTTCTTACGACCCGTACGACCCCTACTGTCCTTACGGCGATGAAGACGGAGACGACTGGAAGGAAGCCAAACAAGTGCGGTCGCAGGAGGGGAGAAGGAAGTTAAGAAAGAAGGTAGGTGCTATGTATGTCGTAGTTGTAGATAACAGGAGGAAAGATCAGGATCAGAGGAAGAAGAGGAGGAGAAAACTTGAAGCGACGGAGGAGGAAGATCAAGATGAGGATTGGAGGGAGCGAAGAACTGGGGGCTACCAGAGGGGGAAGGGGAAGAAAGGACGGGGAAAGGGTAACTGGCACGGGGAGAGGGCGAGAAACACGCGCCCAGGGTGAGTAAAGGATGATGATGGTGATGATGGTGATGATGGGATTGTATATACGACGACCGAAATCAGATTAGGTGAGTTGGTTACCTTGTACATAGCCCTTAGTACAGAAATCAAATAACCAAACCTCGCTATATTAAGCCTCATAGCTTCCCTTTCTTCTTATTCCTCCTCTCCTGGGCACTTTTCAACAGCGCATAAAGCGTCTGCACCCTCGGCAGCTCCACGCCCTTCGCCCTGGCAATCCTGACCGGGTTGCCCAAAATCACCTCCAACTCCATCGCCCTGCCTGCCTCCCAATCCAATAACATACTCGGCTTACTGCCCACATTCCTTTCGGTACTCTTCAAAATCTGCTCCGGCCTCGCCATTTCCTTCTCCTCGCCCGTCTCTTTATCCACCTCGACAAACCCCTTCGGATTGCCCAGAATCTTGGGCGCCGCCGCCCAAATCTCATCCATCACCCCCTTGAGGTGCGCCCTCAGCTCTGCGTCAAGCACCATATCCGCGTTCCCTCTCCCCCCACTCAGCACCGCGGACGGATTAAACGCAGCATTAATCGTCAACTTATGCCACCTCACCGTTTGCAAGCCGACCTCGGTTGTAACCTTGATATCCCGAATTCCGCCGTACCGCGTCCACCAATCCTGCAGCCTCTTCGCATGACACATCCCCAACTCATTCAACCTTCTCCTCTCCTCATCCCCCAATTTCCCCTGCCCGGTTACAGTGCCAGCATCGACTTCAAAAGCCGCGCTATCCGTATACGGCCCCAAATGCATCCTCGTCCAGCGGTTCTGCCTAATCACCCCGGGACGGATCTGCTCGGCACTAATGACCGTGACACCACTAACGATCGGATTGCGCGGGAAGCGTGCGCGGTAGGGGTGCTCAACACCAACGCCGTTCTGGATCAAGATAATACACGCGTCTGGGTTGTCCTTGAGAAGCGGCTCAATGGTCTTGGAGTCATCCTGCCGGTCGGGGAGGGCCTTGGTGGTGACGATGACGTAGTCCCATTTGACTCTAGAGGCAGCGGCGGTGGCGATGTTGGGGTATGTGGCGACTGGGTGGAAGAGGTAGTCGCCGAAGGTGTGGGTTTGAAGAGTGACGGTGTTGTTGGCGGCGATGATGGCGTTGTAGTTTGAACGGGCGAGGAGGGAGACGTGGATGTTGTGATCAGGCTGGGGATGTTAGTTAGTGAGCGGTGAAGGCCCAGATAAGGGCAAAAAGGGGGGAGGGGGCCTTACGTGATGCAGACGCGACGCGTAGAAGCAGCCTACGGCGCCGGCGCCAACGAAGATGATATTGATCGGCCTGTCGGGGTCAGCGGTGCTCTTCCGATGTCTGGGCCTGTCCGACCATCCCGCCAGGGTCCTCAGGCAAGGGGACCTACCTTTCCGGATCGGCGTACACTCCGGCGCCGGGCTTCGGAGCAGCAATCGGCGTGGACATCGTTTTTTGTGCGGTCGTATCTCTTTTCGGAGCCTCTGGCAGACACTGGTTACCATTACCATCCAAGAACTCGTCAACTCAGCTCAGGCCATCACCATGGCTAATGCACAGCATGCATGACACCCCGACTCCCGGATCCCCGTTCCCCGCACGCACGAAACAAGACAAGACCAAGACCAAGGTCTCGGATGCCGAGCCGCCCGTCGTTTTGGATACCGCAGCGTAGGAAGAATTATGCTTCGGCTTCGGCAGGACTACCGGCGACTAAACCGCCCTAGTCAAGTTGCCCTTCGTCCGCGCTGCACACGTTCGGGTGTGCTTATGCTTCTTGTCCCAGCAACCAGCAACACGATCTGCTTGGCTTTTCCCAGCAAAGCACATCTTTCCTTCCTTGTTCCTGCCGGTCGGCCGCACACGACACGCTCTCATCGGCCACGCCGGCTGGCGGCTGACTGCCGGCTTATACCGTCCGTCCGACCGACCGTGCCAATCCCAATTCGCCCACGCATCCCCCAGACTTTCCTTCTCTAGGTTTGTTGTTCTTCCCCATGGGGAAGAGCCGTTCCGTTCGGGCGGCGTCCGGGAAGATCGGCGTCTTAGTGTGGGATGAAGTTTGTAGCCTCCTCGGGGGATAGCAACGACACGATATGCAAGAGCATGATGATGGTTTATGATGTTGGGGTGGTGACGATGACACACACCGCACCGACATCTCCTCAATTTGTTCGGCTTACCTGTGTAGTCTGTCTGTTCTGATAGTTATTGACGATGTCTATCGCAATTGCGCTAAGCAAGGCCAAGCGAATTGGGATAGACACTTCGCGCAGGAATATTGTGTAAACCTTGATGATTGGTCGCTGTAAGCACCGCGAGCCAACTGTAGCGATGAGGCACACTTCGTAATGGTATTATGACTTTTGAGCGGTGCTCAGACTTAGCGCTACACCAAAGACTGAGGATAGAAAATGACTGACGCGCCAAGGGATGACACACGGGTTGCAGTATGCAAGTACAGTAATATTGTCGTGTGTTGATGTCTCGTATCGTTGCGAGTGGAGCGCAGGATGAAGAATCACTGTAAGCAGAAGGAGTCAAGCGAGAGCGATGACAAAGGCCAAGGGAAAAAAAAAAAATGATTCAATCGATGCAACCACTGCAGTCCACCCCAGCCTAGTGAAAACGTTGAGAATTTCTCCCTCCTACGCAATAACGTCACGTACGTAATCGAGGCAGTCACAAATCATAACGCAGAACGCGGCTGCCAGGCATCGAGTGAAGTGGAGGCTTCACTCGCGCAAAGCTACCTCAACTGTTACCTTCCTTAGCTTCTGTAGTGGAGCTTCCTTTCTTACTCTAGTAAAGCTTGTTGATGATTCCGTTGAATGTCAATGTCGTTGTCATTGATCCACTTCTCCCCGCTCTCTTGCATTCTGGTTTCCAGGGTTGTGTGTCGCTTGGGGAGGTTGACCCCCCAGCCGCACCCCCAACCCTGATCGACTCTCCCGCGACAACCCGCCCACGTGCCCGGGAAGGGGGGGGGGGGGCAAAGTTGGTGAGCATCGCTCAACTACATGTCACTGTTGACCCCCTCATTCTCGATGGCACAACGTTCCCCCCGAGCCGTAAGGCTTCACCTTTACGATCCAGCCTCCAGCCAACGACACCATCGGGGTGTCCCCGCCTTTTCCACATTTGTACACATGTATGTACAGATTATCGAGGGCTAGCGTTTCATTATTATTTCTCCAGGATTTAGTAACCCATCCAGCTGGGCTAGAGTCGGATCCAATGCCTCGGTGAAGTGTTCAGTCGATGAAGGCTGGCTAAACAGGCAGGTCAAGTCAGGACAGGTATCATAGAATATGCCTGTTTCCAAACCGTTGGTGCCGAGCCGTTCTTACGCCTATCGTGTCGGTTATTTCTTCTACCAGTGTCTGATATGGATGGATGAGCGCTAAGAATAAACATTCCACCATCCGTAGTGGGATAGCAAAGTGTCAGAAAACTGCATGAATCTGAGTCATGTAGACATAATCGATAACTGGAATAATAAATACATCAGTGTCTTAGCTATTGCAGTTTGGCCTTTCTTGAATGTTCCTATCTCCATCTACAAGGCACCGTGACAGATGTACAATCCGAAAAAGACCGGCTTACTGCCGCTATCATTTTTGACGACATCCTTACGTTGTGTTCAAGCTCTGTCTCAAAACAATGCAAAGAAAAGTATCAACATTCACCAATAACTGCATCGGCTGACTCTACTGCCAAGAGAGCCAACGGCCGACGCTGTCTGCAGTGCCATGGTGACTGTTCCGGAGGTGTCAGAATTTGAACTCTTACATCTGAACAAACAAAGAACGATGATCGGGTATCACGACCACCCATGGCCCGGGCCGTTAGGAAGCTTAAGTAAAACCGCCTTGTCTCTCCTGAGCCTCTTGGCTGTTTAACACTTGTATTACAAGCCAAGAAGAATGTCCGAGTGGAAAGTAAGAACCTGAGAGTCCACGTGTAAGGAAGACTTGGAAGTAAGAGTATAGTAGCAGTCTGTCAGTCCGGATAGACACACATAACTCCGTCTTGAACTGCGGTTATTGTTCTATGCTGTACCAGCCAAGCAGTCAGTTTGCCATTATCTTGTCTTCCCTGAGACTCTTGGCTGTTTCATCATTGACGAGGCAGATTCTGCTTACCACATCACGACATCCCTGCCATATTTCTATTTTCTCTCATGCACGTCACTAGGACAGACATCCAGCCAAGCGATCTTTAGGGAACCTCAACTCCTCCTCCGCCCCTCGGCATAGTGAAAGTCATCTAACCACACAAAGTCACACCAGCCTTGAGTTCCAGAATACCCAACCTGGACACTCACCTTTCCGACCTTTGTTTGCCTCCCACACCTTACACTCAACTTCTCTTCCTGGTCTACCTTATCTGTGTATGCTTGAACACCAACACGCACTTCAGCAACTCCCAACCCCTACCGTCGTACCGCATCCGCAAGCGCCGTCATCTGATCCCACGGAGCAAGGACTCCGGTCCGTCTTGCGTATAACTGACACTGCTGAATCTGGTGCGTTTGGCATGTCTTGTGCTCCGTTGCCTTGTGACAAGCAACTGGATGGGTAATCTCCCTTCTTCTGATACAGTGGCTTTTCAGGATGCCAGCCGAAGCTGCCAACAGTCTCATACGCCGATGCAAGCCTTGTGGAGATTTCGAACCTCATCAAGCACAATGCGTATTTGGCTATGAATCGGATGGCCTGACTTTAAGATCACCGTCAAAATCCATCCTCGGTGATGGAGACAGCAACATCAGCAACATCATACACTGGCGCAGTCCCGACTCTGCCCCTGAGAACTCAAGAGCTGCATGTGATTGTTTTTCGGTGGACACAAGGCTGCCCTCAACTAGCAACAAGCAGCCACAACCACGTCATACTTGGCTTCGGTTCCAAAAACGTGCCAAGATTGCCGTGGGATGGCCTTGGCTCGATAACACTCAGCCCGTACCATCGACACGAATCGTTGACAATCACTGCTTGTCATACAGTAAAATGTAACCTCTACTGATTCCCGGGTTTCCTGGATAATCAAAACGATCTCTCCACACGGGCGCCCAGCAACGGGTTCGTTGTTCTATGCCGGCGGCATCCATCCGCACCAACGGGGTCGGTGTTTTGCAGATGTAGGTATCACACCCGTAAAGGGTGAGTACCCGCCATGGCAAGCTCGGTGTAGAAAGGGCACCGAGCTGATGTAGTGTGCAAGGAACTGGCCGTGGTTGTCTACGAGCCAGCTTTACTCCCCACGTTTTGACCTACTACCAGCCTGTCACGCCCCGCAGGCTCCTTATCAGGAAAGATCCCCAACCAACAGCTGGCGCCAGGTACCACCGGGCGGCACCAAGGACTCGAAGCTCAGCGTGCTGCCAAGTCGGCTCTGTGCAGCATCGATCAACTCAAAATCCATTTCAGGTAGGACAGCAACCAGCATCGATCGACGCCAAGTTCACAAACACGTCGGCTGGTGACGACGGACGCTGAGATGCTGTGATACCCAAGAGCGGTGTTGCCGGGCCAGCAATGGTGATTGGCGAACTGCGCCAGCAAATGATCCCATCGAAGCCAAACGCGCGCCTCTCAACGAATACTGACTGAGCAAACAAGGGTGCGCTATCTGGGCTGGAGAGTGCGGGAGGTGCGTGGGGGTAAAACAGCAGTGTGGTAAAAAGATGAACTGAGGGCCCCGATACTCACTAGAGCTGCGGGTCGATCAGTGCGAACCAATCGAAAAAAAAACCACTTACATTTGGAGAACTTCGAACTCCGTCTGGGCCACTCATTGAGCTGGGCAGGCGCCGCAACATTCAACAAGAATGATGTGATGAAATGCGCAGTCCAATGAATGCGACGGCGTTACTCCTGCCTCGGGCAGCCGGTTGAGTGGCCAGAGCGGTGCACAACAGAACTCTATCCAGGTGCAGTTGGAGAAAGCAAAAAAATTGTCAGAAAGCCACCATTCATGATATCTCAGGCTGTCTTCCGCGCCCCAAGACCCGCTGAGCTGTTCTGCGCAGGATCGCTCTGGTTCGAGCAGCTTTGTGCAACCTGAGCCCCCCGGCGGATGCCGAAGTGGCGTTCTAGAAAACTTATCGAAGTCCTGAGCGTCCGTTGGCTGGACTGATCGCTGCCACTCGATCAGCCGGCCAACGGGTAGACACATTGTGTCCGACATCAGCAGCGATGGCCTTGAGACCGGTGGTCTCTGGGTCTGGCAGTCTGGAAATTCCCGACCAACAAGATCTCTGTTACCGAGTTGCTCTTGATGATCGAGACTTGCCAAATCTCCGGCAAACGTCGAGGACGGCGCGGCCGTTGCAGGACATTGACAGGCGAATCGGCAATTAGCTGACTTGCTGCAGGGAGGGACCGGATGGACGCTAATAACCCAGTGCTAGGCTCTTTGAGTTATGTGCCTTCATAACAGACCCG